AGTGGCAAACAATTTCCTGACTACTCTTTAAATAACCAGGTGTACCTGGGGAAGTGACTAAACCCAAATTAAGACTCTCAAATCCAGAGAAAGCGTTGCACATATTCTAAACCTGGATAGTTTTAGTTCTGTTTATGTAATAAACCCTACTAATGGATTTACTTATATCTAACTCTGTGTTTCCTTTTTTATATTTTAGATGGAACAGATTAAAAGGGCAAATAAACTGTTTACCAATGATTGTATATTTCTGAAGAAAACTTTGAACATCCCAGTTATATCAGAGAAGCCTTTGTTGTTTAATGGACTTAACTCAATAGATTCTCCAGAAAGTGAAACTGTTGGTAGCAGTTTTTCTCATGAAGAGGAGCCCGTAGCAGCTGGGGAAGACCTTTCTCCTCCCAGTCCTCAAGAATCTGATGTTCAGCCTGTACAGCCTGAAGAAGTGTCAGCTAGAGATTTCCTGCAGAGACTAGACTTGCAGATTAAGTTGTCAACACAGGCAGCCAAGAAACTAAAAGAAGAGAGCAGGTAAAAATATGTTGGTAAAATGTCAGAGGTTGAATAAATTACTCTTACAATGTCCTTGCTTGGCTAAATTTTGTTGTGTTTTGTTTTCTCTCTTTGCTCTTCTCTTTCCTTTTTTTCCTTTTGCTTTAAAAACTATATTTCAGGGGTAACTGGGTGGCTCTGTCAGTCAAGTGTCTGCCTTCCGCTCAGTTCATCCCGGGTCGTGGGATCGAGTCCCGCGTAAGGCTCCCTGCTCGGCGGGGAGCCTGCTTCTCCCTCTCCCTCTGCCTGCCACTTCACTTGCTTGTGCTCTCTCTCTCTTTCTCTGTCAAATAAATAAATGAAGTCTTTAAAAAAAATAAAAAAAATAAAAACTATTTTAATTCTAGAAAGTGATTTTCAATATGTGAGGTGTAAAAAGAGCTCCTGCATTCTGCATAGGGCATTATCTGTTGCAGTATACTTGCTTTTGTCCCTGTTATTTATTATAAAAAGTTTGCTGCTTTGCTTTAGTAGTGTAACTATCCAGCAAGCAATTCTGGATAGCAGCCCAGCAGAAACATCTAGTTTATCCCATCAAAGGAAGGACTGCCCTGGGAAGGGCAGCTCCTTGTGAAATACTGATCCTAATGTAATTTGTCAAAGACATTGTCCATTATTTGTTACTGGGTGTTTTTCATGTGAGCTGTTTTCTTTGTTCTTTAATTTGGTACTCGGGCAAATCTTTCTCTCTCCTACAGAATTGGTTTTCTTTTTCCTTTATGAATCCAAGAATGGCACAAGCTAGTGTGTTTCCTTTTTAACCCTGGCTCCAGAAAGCTAACAACTAAAACTGATGCTCAGTTCAGCTACTACAGTATTTCTTATGGTTAATATATTTGTACTGTTCTCCTTTCCTTAGTCCTGATTTTCTGTTTCTAACTCATCTTATTGTGTGTATGCTTTTTTGTTGTAGGCACATCGAGTCCTTTTGAGGAAAAGGTGGAATATAAAAAATATAAACAAATATGAATATAATCATTTTATAATTTAAAATGTTTTATTTAAATGGAATAGAAAAATGTAAATATATAAGAATAGATAAATATTTTTTTACAAGTACCCTTCTTTATTCCAATAACTGAGATGCCAATAAAATGCAGATAATAAGGTCCATCCTAATGAGTATTTGCATCGCATATAACTTCCAGGACATGCAAAATATTATAATTATATACAAAATATTTTAAATTGATATACCCTTCTTTGGCAAATGGATATTAACTTATATAATGAGTATATATATTAGCTTTTTGAATATCATTTTTAAGCACTGATTTATACTGAATGTATTTTTTTCAGAGATGAAGAAAGCCCCTATGCAGCTTCCCTCTATCACAGTTAGATGATCGGGGTGATCATCTAACCTGGATTAAGAGATAGCTGGATCATAAGGAAACCAACAACCGAAGATTTGAAAGCGTGCATCGTTAAATCGCAATTTAGTAGGTCCACCTCCTGCAGTTGCACTGACATGATTATTTCCCTCTGGCTTTCTATAATTCTAAGTCCCTATTACGGCATGAAAGCAAAATTGTATCCTAAAGCTCATCACTTTTGTAGGTGATGGTAGTTTTGAGACTAGTTTTGTAAATACTAGTTAACATAAAGCATCAAAGACTATATACATCTTCAAGCTGAAAACAATGTTGATCTTCTGAGAAATCCTAATTATGTGACATACATGGTTGCTGTTGAAGTGATGCTGATTTTGCTATGTGTTTATAACTTAAGTGCTATATATTTCGATATGCATTACATATTCTGTATTAATATAAAGAACCAAATTTTGTCTGCTATTTTGTAAAAATAAACTACAAAAGCCTGAATGAGAAAATAAACTATGTTTTCATATTTGAGTCTTTGTTTTTTTTCAACAAATGGAAACATAAAATTGATTTTTAAATTGTTTTTGAAATGGTGACAGCTTCTCCATTTTAAATGCTTTTATTATTATAACTGGAATTTTGAAAAAGTTTCAGTAATGTAAAAGCAAATCAATTATGGGTATTAGTAACATTTACATTTTCATAATATTTTTCCTGATTTGTTTGAGATATGGTATAAACATAGAATATAATGAGAAGGAGAAATTAAAAATGCCATGCTCTTGACACATTGGTGAATTCTAGTTTAGATTTCATTATGTCACTTTATAGAGTGTTTCATAGTCACTGTGTTCACTTGAATTGAGGATTAAATTTTTATTCACATAATTTGTCTTTTATCATATGTACAGGTTATAGCCATAAATCTTAAGCAAAATATTACTTAGAGTTAAACTCTTTTTGGTCTCAGTTTTATTCAAATACCAGGTTAAAGAAATCACTAAGCTCCCACAAAAATTCCCTATATTTATCTCTCCCCTGCATCCCCAAAGGAATCTGCTTTCTGTGGGGGCAAAAAGGACTCTCCCCTCATTTTCTCTTCCTTGTCCTGCTCCTCCAGGTCTTCCACTAAGCAGGAAACAGGTGCCTTTAGGCATCAATGGGGCAGAGCTTACAGAACCAGAACTGCACATTTCCAGCCCTTGAGGGTGACCAACAGGTGCATGCATGGGAAACACTGTCATCTGCCCTTGTCTCGAATTTCTTGTTTGTTCATAACTTGCACACTCCCTGATGTGTTGGGGTTTTTTTTCCTCATGCAGTTACCATCTTTGATATAGTGTGATCTCTTGATCATGCTTTGCTACTACCTGACTATGGGGGGTTAGTTGGAAGAGGAGAAAACAGAAAAATAAAGGAAGGGAAAACACTGTGTATATAAGACAAGGTCTAGGCCTCCGGAGGCACAGGAACTTTCAAAAATGTAAAGTTATCATGCTGTTTAACGTGACATGATCTGAAATTTGAGAGTAATTCAAAAGACATAAGTCCAAAAATGCTGTCCAAAAGATATAAGCAGAAATGTAAAATTCAGACCACAATCTTAAAAAGCTTCTTCTGAGTATTTCTTTGTTGCCTAAGGTCTACTCTTAGCACTTTCTGGCCAGGACATCTCTCTCCTTCAAGTAATTAAAAACTCTGGATTTGTTGAGGCCACAGTTGAACTGTCTTGGACCAGAGTACTCTAGTGCTGCCTTGGAGGAGTGGACTGAGCCACAAGAAACCGGGTTCGAGGCCTCGAGGCCCACTTTTAACAACTTCTTGCTCATCTGACTTTGAGTATGCTCTGGGTCCTTGTGAACCAGTTTCCTCATTTCTGAAGCAAGGCCAATGATCTCCCTTTTCTTTTGTCTTGGTTACTGCTCAGAGTTAATGAATGTCTGTGTGTCAGAAAACTATAATAAACTCCCTACATAAATGTCTTATTTTAAAATAGACTGCATAGATATCTAGATAAATTATAGAAAAATGAATGGATAAAATGCTTTAATTGCAGCCAGACTTTTCTTTCGTCCTGATGTACAAGCAGCCTACTTGGACCATAGGACCTGGGTGAATGGTCGGTCATGTTATCAAAGATGACATTAAAAGGGTCTGACTCATTGAGTTGGGCAAGGATAATTTGGGCAGAGATGTTTCTAGTTCCCTCTTACTGCTCACCAGGGAGTAATGACTTCTCTAGAACATACCAAGTTTAGTTGTTGTTTGTTTATTTTTACAACTCCAGAGAGGATGGGGAGGAGCAGCATCCTCTCATTCCTCCTCGGGGAGGAAACCTCCTAGACTCTGTCTTTTACAGTCTAAAGACAGAGTCTAGGAGGTTTCCTCCCCGAGAAAAATAACCTCTTAATACTTTCCCCTGTAAGTTCCCCAGCCCTCACCAAAAAGTAGATACCAAGTAGGAGCATTCAAGACAAGTATTAGAAGGCTGTTTGAAGTCATGACAGGTAATACACAAAGATTATATTATTTTTAAGATTTCAAACTGAAATAGATAGAAAAATGTTATAACTTTATGCTGAATAATGCATTTTCAAAGCATTCTCTGGCTTGGGAGCATTGCCCATTACCAACCATTTCAGGAGGACATTGGGCCACTGTGTGTTGTTTCCAGAGCTGTGTTTGTGATGGCAGCTGAGGAAGTGGAGTTGCAGGGACCCCAAGTTCATTAACCTCTCCCCCCAGGAAAACTCGTTTAAAAGCTTTGGTCCATGAAGAAGGGACTGATTGTTTTCTCTGTTTCTGTCCTACTGCCTGGCCTTCTTGCTCTCTGTTGAGAAACCTTGGCCTGGATTAAATTCAGTTTAGATAACTCAGGTCTGGCAGACATGTTTACTTTGCTTCTGCAGTGTTTATGACCTCATTTTTCTCCTTGGAGAACACATAGTTATCCCTATTAATAAACAAACTCGATGTCTGGAAATGTCAAGAGTGGGGAGAAATTGTTGATGAGTCCAGCAAAGCCTATGCTTATCTTTCAGGTTCCTTTTTGCACCACTGGGCCTGATAAAGAGCCAGCAGGAACAGCCAAAAAAGCGGAGTTATCCTTTAAGCTAGAGAGGCTTGGAGGTAATGTTAATTTATTTTAACTCCCAGAAGGGAACTGGAAATGACATCTTGTAACAGACAGAGTCTAGGAGGTGCTTTGGTACCCAGCACGCCTTAAAAACAGAACCCCCTAATTCTTTGCGGGGGGTGCCTGTGGGTGTGACACAGCGGGAAGAAGCTTCAATTTTAAGTTCTGTCCATGACAGGCTTTCCGAAGCCACATATCTCTGATTATAAAATGTAAATCTATAAGGAAATGAGGATTCTATATACAAAATCGCAGCTTACATACAACTTTACTTTTCAGACAGTTTTTATGGCAAGAAAGCTATGTTGAACCACTTCTAAAAGGTTAACTACTGCAATTTCACCACTTTCTAATAATCCTTGGGTCAAATAACTTTAATGACAGAATTAGAAGTGTTTTAAGCTATGTTTGCTGGGACAGTCTAAAGACTCCCAGATCTTCTGCCACTTCTACAGGCTGCTGTAGATACGCTTGATGGCATCGGCTTCTTCTTCATCAAGGATGCCTTTCTCCACATAAGCATCAGCTTGTTGGTTGATGAAGTCCCTCATCTTTGAAAGGTCATAATCTGGAAAATATTGTTAGAGTATTGTGAGCAATGATCAGGAAAGAGACTTCCCATTACAATGATTACCATTAGCTTAGAAGCTTTTAATGCAACAACACAACTACCATTCCATCCCTGTCTTTCACATTGGAAAACATATCAGCTCTTGGCATTTGTTCAATCTTTAGAGTTTAAAACCGTGTGTGTGTATGATATCTCATTTGCTGTCCATCACCCCTGCAAGGTGTTCAGGTGGGGAGTGCCACCCTCATTTGACCATGGAGGGAACAGGCTCATAGACCAGGGCTTTGCAAACTTAATGTTTATACCAATCACCCAGGGCTCTTGTAGGTTTGTATTAGTAGGTCTGACGTGGAACTCCGGGTTCTGCATGTTAAATAAGCTCCAGGGAGATGTCGATGCTGTCAGTCTAGTAATCACATTGGGGTAACAAGATCCTAAAGCTTAAGTACCTTGTTCAGGCTCACACAGGTAGTAAGAGTTACAAACAGAACCAGGTGTTTTGGTTTTCCGCAATTGTTATACAGGTTAAGTGAGTGTTGATGGGACAACCCACTTTTTTTTTTTTTCCAAATTAAGAATTGCTGTGATTTTTTACATTATCTGAATTATATGCATGGAGCAAAACAAACAAAAAATTATATGTATGAGCTTTTTTTTTTTGAGAAACCTCTTTATGGGTCTTCTGTCCTACTTAAACAAAAAAACCTACGTAAACCATAAAACCACCCATCAAAAACAAAGATCCCCAAGTAAGGAGGCTGCCTGTGGCATTTTTCTGAAGGCTTAAAGAAAACCCACATCTTCCTTGATGCTTACTGTTTAAAAACATGGAAAATACGGAAACATGGAAATAAAATTTAAATCACCTGAATTCTATCAGTCATAAATAACCACAGATGGTTTTTTGTTTTACTTTCTTGCTTTTCAAATATATCTATCTCAACCTGGAATTGAGATCACGGTATATATACAACCTTATTAACGAGCTCCTTCCCTTTACCCAGTGAGCATCAATATTCTTCAGAAACTCTTTTAATAGCTACATGCAGTGCATCCTATGGTGGTACCAAAATCCATGACTCACATTTCTCAGGGCTGGACGTGTGGGTCTTCTTATACCCCAGCATACTTGGGAAGACCCCCCACCCAGATTTCAAGTTGCCCGAGGCTGTGTTCCTTGAGGACAGTGCCGTTCAACTTGGCTATGGCAGCCCCTGGAACAGAGCCTTGCCTTCTGTCAGTTTGTAAAGGAGAAGAAAAGGGAAAGAGTGGGGAACAAAAGCTCAGGGCTCCAGTGAAAGGAAAACTATAAAAAACATTGTTGCGAGCGCCAGGTGTTTATCATATCAAGCGAGCCAAGGTTTAGAGAAAACCGGTTTCCCCTCCAGGAAAGAGGCGTTTGTTCCTGTTAGGGCTTGGCCACGAAGATTAAAGAGACCACTGTAGCCCTGGGCACTTCACAACTGTCATCTGTCTTGCTCCTCATGAACTCCATGAGGTAAGCGTTAGTAACCCCATCTCAGAGACGAAGAAACAGGACAAAGGAGGTAAGCCACTTGTTCAGGTCAGGCGGAGTCCAGTTCTGAGCCCCAGTCTGTCTGCAGTTCCTGCTTTGGCCGTCTACGGCTTTGAAGTAGGGAATGTGAAGTAACGAACAGGTGTAGAACCCAAGTTCAGCAAGTGCTTGGGGTTTCTGTTGTTGGTGTTCTTTTTCACTTTCCCTTGCTGTCAGGACAAAACAGAATGGAGCTGAACATACATTTTGTGCACCCCTCACCAGCAGATTGCTGACCGACTCGGAGGGCACAAAGAGGCCCCTCCTGACGATCGCTGGTTCAGATTAATAACGGCTCTCCCGAGCTCGCTTCAGGGTCGACATCTTTAGTGGGACGAAAGGCAGCCCAAGCACAGATGTGAAGAGGTCCAGGTGATTTGAATGGATGCAAAGGAAAACTGTATCGTTAAGATGTAGCTGTCATGCGTGCCTGGAAAAACGAGCATGGTGCAGAAGAAAGGCTGCTGGCTGCCTGTTAGGTCACCCAAGTCAGGAACCACCTTGTTAACCTTAAGAATGTTTTAAGGTTGTTAACACTCCAAAGAAAAAAGGGCTGTGATTCAGTTTTTTAAAAGTACAGACTTTAAGGGTGCACAAAGTTTTTTCCTTCTCCTCAGTATCACATCACAGGGACCTTCCTTTCCTGGATTTGGGAAGGAGATGCAGGTCACCCAAACCCCTGCCCAGCAAAGGGCAGCCACAGAGGTTAAGGAAGGTCAGAACTCCTAGAGCAAATGGACTTGCTGCTCACACAGCTGCAGCCACTCCAAGGTCCCAGATCTAGATCCCCACAGGCTTAAAGAGGTGAGCTAGGTCAAGCAGAGCACATACAAAGGCAATGGAAGAAAGGCTTTCTGCTTCTGCCGTCAGGAGGGTATAAGGCAGGTTGCCCCCACTGCTTACAGGCAGAGGGGAGCCTCGAACTCAACACTATCATTCTGCAATTTGCTCAGAGTCCTTTGAGATGCAAGCACTAGGGTTCCATGCTTCACTAGGTTGGTCATTTCTGGAAGTGGAAAATTAAATTGCAGGATGTTGTGGGTCATGACCAGGGTCTGATTCATGTTAATCAGTAAAAGAAAGAACGTTAAGTACTCCTAAACTGTTGGACCATAAAATGAATATTGGTTTCAAAATGTGTTTGGTACTTACTGTATTACACTCATTCTAAGATCAACAGTTTTTTATTTTAAAGTTGATGGCACATTATAATTTTTCTTCCTTAGTGGTATATGAAACAATGGTACGTTTTTCAACCAATGACAGATTTGATGAAATATAGTTCATGTGAATTTGAATGGAACTGACAGAGTGGAAATTCACACCATTCTGAACCAAATAAAATGAAATATGTACAAAAAGCTAATAATTGTTTCCATCTCACTCAATTTAATAAGATCACAAGCTAAAGAGGAGCAAGAAAGATCTCTTTCTCCCATTGTGCTCTATCTCAGTGGTTCCCAAACTTGTCCACACAGTGGAATCATGGAAGAGGGGGTTAAAAATATCGATGCCTGTGTCCTTCCACTTGAGTGTCTGATTTAGTGGTTCTGAGATGCAACCTGGGCATTAAGACCCTGAGGGGCTCCACAGGTGATCTGAATACACATTCAAGTTTGAAAATACCGCTCATCTCATTTTATTTTTATTTTTTTTAAGATTTTATTTATTTATTTATTTGTGAGAGAGAGAGAGAGAGAGAGAGAAAGAGAGAACACCAGCAGGAAGAGTGGCAGACAGAGGCGGGGAGAAAAGCAGGCTGCCTGCCGAGCAAGGAGCCCAATGCAAGACTCAATCCCAGAGCCCTGGGATCATGACCTGAGCCGAAGGCAGCGGCTTAACCAACTGAGCCACCCAGGTGTCCTTCATCTCATTTTAAAAGCATCACTTGGCAACTGCTTGGTCAGATACCTGGGACTCGTGGTGGACTCCTCTCCACGTTGCTCTCAAGTTTCTCCCTTCTTTATTTCTGCTGCCTTGCCTCGGTGTAAGCCCCATCATTTCTGCTCCAGATCCTCCAATCTCTGCCCAGTCCTCTGGGGTCCTATTTCTTCAATCAGCTCCTAGCCTAATTAAGCCCTAATTTAGGCTCTTCTGGATGAATCTTACCTCCTTTGCAGGGTGCACAAGCTCCTTCCTGATCTGGCTGCTACCCACCATCCCAAAGACACCCAGTGTTCCAGGGAAACTGAGTTAGCTCCGTTTCCCAGAATGCATGACTCTTTTGTCTTTTTATGTCTTGGCGCCCAGTGTTGCCTCTGCCTCCAACTCTCGTCCCTTAGCTTTCCAGCAAAGGCTTTCCTGTGGACCTTTCTCCCAGTGCTCTATCTGCCTATAAAGAGATGGGCTCCCCACCTTTGCACCACTCCACCTGTTTGTGACAGCACTGAGCAGGGCCATCTGTAGCTTGAGTGATGCTGGGAGCTCCTTGGGGGGCTGGGGAGGACAGGGGGAGGCAGCAGCTTTCATTTTCACTTCTCTGGTACTCAGAACAGTCTTATTCTGTGTTTTATTTTAAGTAAATGACTGACAGCTTTTATGACGGCAGGGTACATCTAATATGCGGTCACAAATGCCTTTGTTTAAGATACTCAAAGAAATGATCCCAGGATCATGGGATCGAGCCCCAAATTGGGCTCTCGGCTCAGCAGGGAGCCTGCTTCCCTTCCTCTCTCTCTGCCTGCCTCTCTGCCTGCTTGTGATCTCTCTCTGTCAAATAAATAATAAATAAAATCTAAAAAAAAAAAAAAGATACTCGAAGGAGGGGAACCTGGGGGACTCAGTCAGTTAAGCATTTGACTCTTGATTTCAGCTCAGGTCATGATCTTACAGTCATGGGATTGAGCTCTGCGCTGGGCTCCACGCTGGTTGTGGAGCCTGCCTAGGATTCTCTATCCCTCTTTCTGACCCACCCTTGCCTCCTCTCCCTCTAAAAAAAGTAAGTAGGGGCACCTGGGTGGCTCAGTCAGTTAAGCATCTGCCTTTGGCTTGGGGCATGATCCCAGGGTCCTGGGATGAGCCCCCACATCAGGCTCCCTGCTCAGTGGAGAACCTGCTTCTCCCTCTCCCTGACGCTCTGTCTGCTTGTACTCTCTATCTCTCTGTCAAATAAAAAAATAAAATCTTTTTAAAAAACTAAAAATATTTTTTAAATTTAAAAAATACTTCAAGGAAAGGGCAAAGTGTTGATAATTATTGGAGGTAGTTGATGGATACATGGGAATTCATTATACTATTCTCTCTACTTTTGTTTGACGTTTTTCATAATAAAATGTCAAAGAAAAGGCCTTTGCTTGAGAGGCTGCTATGAAAAATAAGAGAAATGGAGATTCTATTCCTGCACTGGCATTCCTTCTTTCTGGAGTCTTTTTACACTGGTTTGATTGTGGGAAACTTAATTTAACAAGAACCCCTGACAAATGGGTAAAATTGGCAGTCTACAACCACACTAAATCCTTACCTTCTTTATTTCCTTTTTTGTTGTGTTTCTTCAACCATTCAATATTTTTTCTTATGGCTTCCAAATAGGCTTCTGTTTTCCCTGGAAAAAGGCAGAGAATCCCTATGAAACACTCATAAAATATCACTGCATTTCTTTTTAAAGACTACACTCTTGTTTAGAGCCATAAACCCTGGACTCGTCAAGCACTTGTGAGGCGGTATCCCTCATGAAGTAGTGTGCATAATTGTGTGCCTGGTGTGTGTGTGTGGGGGGGGGCTGCTGAGGAGAGTGGGTAGGGATGATTCCACGAGACAGGACCAGGCTAGTGTCAAGGAGCCATTACACACACACACACACACACACACACACACACACACACGCCCATCTGTTGTCCTGACAGAAAAGTTTTGATTCAGTTCACTGGATAGGTAGGGGCCTTGAATTCTTAGACTGCATCATCTCTGGTTAGCACTGGTTCTTCCAAACTGGGGAGTATTCTCAGGTCAAGAACTAAATCGGAGTGGTGATACTCCCAAACTGAAAAGACTCCATCACTAAATGAATGATGTTAAGTACGTCCGTGTGTGTGACTTTGTGTAGGCTGCCATACAAGTCTTCTGCTCAGTCTGGTAGGGGGTGTGTAACAACTCAGATGAAGTGGTGACACGGGCCTCATTTCAAGGTTTGGATGTGAACCTTAGAACTTATTCTAGTAAAGCTCCCCTCGGGTAAACCTTCTCCTCAGGTGTTGTGAGAGGAAACTAGGCATCACTGAAACACCTGCTCCCCATGCCCTTTATATACATTGTGGCCTGCAAGTGGGCGGGATAAGGAAACTAAGGCTCAAAGAGGTAAGCGACTGGGCTGAGACCACATCGGAAAAAGCTGTAGAATTTAGAAGCTGGTCTTACCAAGTTTCTGCTACCTGCATCATCTGAAAGAAAAGATCTGTCTTGGGGGCGCCTGGGTGGCTCAGTGGCTTAAGCCTCTGCCTTCAGCTCGGGTCATGATCTCAGGGTCCTAGGATCGAGTCCCGCATCGGGCTCTCTGCTCAGCAGGGAGCCTGCTTCCCGCAGGGAGCCTGCTTCCCCCTTTCTCTCTGCCTGCCTCTCTGCCTACTTGTGATTTCTCTCTCTGTGCGTCTAATAAATAAATAAAATCTTTAAAAAAAAAAATCTGTCTTGGGACGTGGACACTGATGTAGCCTTGTTCTGTCTCAAAGAAATCAACCACACCCGAAAGCAGAGGCAGTCCCTAGGGCTCAGAGTGTCTGCACCAAGGGACCAGGTGGTCTAGAGAATTCTGAATAGCCTGAGAAAAGAAGCCTTCAAAGTCCAGGAGCTCTGCAAGAAGTAACGGCTGCCCAAGCTCAATGGTGACCACCCATTCCGAACTCCTTGTCGAGCCCTGCTATCTCTAGTGTGCTGCCCAGACTTCCTGGTTGAGTTAGGACACTTAGGACGTGCCAAGGGCTGTGCTTTGTGCTCCAAAATGCACTATCCCTTTCACTATTCACCCCGCCCTCTTCAGGTGCTCCCATTTCCTCCCCTTGTTACAGATAAAGAAACTGAAGCAGAGAGAGACAAAATAACACGTTGAAGTTCAGATGGCTAGTCGGCTGTGAAGGCAGGCTTGAACCCCAGTTCACGCGACTACCGTCCATGAATGACAACGCTGCCCAAGGATCTGCTGATGCTCCGGTTTCCGCCTCTGCATTTACCTAAGTGACCTCCTGGGCATCTTTCTTCCTGATCTTGTAAGCCCGAACTCTTGCCTCACCCCTGGGGCTTCATGTTACCTGGACCCAAAGAAACAAGGGGAAGTTCCTCTGCCACAGGGATGAGTGGACAAGAGAAGAGATTCACGCTTCTCACCCCCAATTCACTGTAATCGCCTGTGCGGAAGAAGTCTTTGTTTCCGTGCTTTGTTTTCAAGAATGTTGGAGCAAATGAAAGACCGAGTCCTCCTGGCTGAAGTTATAATGTTACGATACAGTGCTCATAGTGATATTCACTGCCTGTTGCTTGTTTGCTGAGAAGGTCAGTTGGATTTGGTAGCATAAAAACAGTGTATTCTATTTCAAATTAATTCGTATAGAAAAAGCATTTTGAACAAAGAAAGAAATCTTAGTAGAGACTATGTGTGAAGAATGTGGCTTCATTGTTCTTAAAGCACTTAAATCCAATGAGTGGATCTCATATAGGGCTTTAACAGATAGAGAATTTGTTATTAGCACATTAAGAAATCAGGGCTTCTGAAACTTTTAAGAATGATTGAAAATGATCTTGTTCTTTAAATCATGTTAAGCATTCACCCCACAATCTTATTTATGATATAGCATAATGTGGAAAGCTTATTCAAGAAAAAGAAAACTTGAGCTTAGTCTCTGTGTAAATACTGTGTTACACACTCTCAATTAGGAGGGGTGCCTGGGCGGTTCAGTTGGTTAAGCATCCAACTCTTGGTTTCAGCTCAGGTCATGATGTCGGGGTCATGAGTCAGAGCCTCATATTGGGCTCTGAACTGGGCAGGGAGTCTGCTTGAGATTCTTTCCCCCTCCCACTCTCTCCCTCTCGCATGCTGTCTCTAAAAATAAAATAAATAAATAAACTCTTTTTAAAAAGCATATCCTTATTTTTAAAACTAGTAGAGTACAGAATAAATATGGGCTTTTTGCCACAATGTAGCAGAAACTGTTGCTTCCCCAACTTCCTGTCTGCTTTATTCCATATATGCTAATAGAGGGGCCCTCACCTAATGATGGGTAGAATGGTAGATAAATACCCAGTTTCCTTTTGCTTCAGGAACATTCCACACAGCCTCCCAGAGATCATCTGTGGGACTGAGCTCCAGTTAAAACTGAAGCCAGTTTGTGAACCCAACTTATATGGGACTCTTTCCTCTCCCTGTCTCATGTACCTATGCCCCCCAGAGGTGTTCCCTGGGGTCATCTCCCTATTAAACTTGACCTCAAATCCTTCTCTCAGGATCTGCTTCAGAAGGAACCCAACCTAAGGCAATTTGAAATAGAGGACTTGGCATCATCTTGTTAGTTGCTTTTTGCTCAGGAACCGATTTCCTATAAAAATGTTAAATTTGGGGGGGCGCCTGGGTGGCTCAGTGGCTTAAAGCCTCTGCCTTTGGCTCAGGTCATGGTCTCAGCATCCTGGGATCGAGCCCCTCATCGGGTTCTCTGCTCAGTGGGGACCCTGCTTCCCTTCCTCTCTCTCTGCCTGCCTCTCTGACTACTTGTGATCTCTGTCTGTCAAATAAATAAATAAAATCTTAAAAAAAAAGTTAAATTTTTAAAAGTATGAAATGGGAGTGCCTGGGTGTCTCAGATGGTTAAATGTCTGCCTTCAGCTCAGGTCATGATCCCAGGGTCCTGGAATTGAGTCCCACATCGGGCTCCTGGCTCAGCGGGGAGCCTGCTTCTCCCTCTCCCTCTGCCTCTCCCCCTGCTCATGCTCTCTCTCTCTTTGTATCTCTCTGTCTGAAACAGATAAATAAAAATTTTTTTAAATAAATAAAAATTATGAACTTCTTGAAAGTAATTTTATCCACTATATTGATATTACCAACCCATAACCGAAAATGAGTTTATTGCAGCTTAAAGGAATCTATTCTGTAATCCATTAAAACTAAACTACTATCTTGTGGATCATAACCACATATGATTGGGACAGTTTCTCTAATTTATTTATTTTTAAAGATTTACTTATTTGAGAGAAAGAGAATGAGGGTAAGTGGGATGGGGGTGTTGGTAGAGGGAGAGGAGAGAGAGAAAATCCTGAAGCAGACTCTGTGGTAAGTGTGGAGTCCAGTGTGGGGCTCGATCTCACAACCCTGAGATCATGACCTAAGCCTAAACCAAGAGTTTGGGCTCAATGGACTGTGCCACCCAGGTGTCCCAACAGTTTCTCTAATTTAAAATAGACCCTCCCCCAGCACTCTCATCCTCCTCTTCTGCTTTATTTTTATCTATAACACTATCACTTTCTACCAAATTATATAATTTGTGCAAGTTTATTGTTTGTCTTCCTCCCTTAGAAATATTTCTTATTTGCTGATAAAGCCTGACATGTAGTAGTCTATCAATAAATATTTGTCAAATAAGTGAATGGATAAAGGCTTCTTAGATGCCAAATTGTAATCAGAAGAATTTAACTTTGTTAAAGTGTAAATGGTACAGATTTCTGTTTTTAACAAAAAAAAAAGTTTATTTGAAAGACTTGAAGTATAATGAATTCTGAATTGAAATGACAGTTATAGCAGAAACAATTTAAAATACCTACAAATGTGCTAGACATACTATATCCATATGTCATTTAATCTTCACAGAACTCTAAGAAATTAGCATTTTCATTCCCATTTACTTGCAAGGGAACTAATGCTCAAAGAAGTTAAGTGACACGCCCAAAGGAACACAGCTGAGTAAAGGTCAGGACCTGGTCTTGAGCTGGAATGAATCTGGAGCCTCTACAGACTGTAGCTGGGTAAAATCCACCTTTTAGACTAAAACAATTTAGTACCTGTTGTTGTTGTTACCAAACTAGCCAATAAGGCAGTGGTTCTCAAACTTGGCCGCATACTAGAGTCATTTAGAGGAGGTTTTAAAAATCCTGATGCCAAGGTTATTCTTCATACCAGTTAAATGAGACTATCCGGGGGTAGGGGCCAAACATGATTTTTAAAAAATGGTCCTGAGGTTCCCATGTTGGGGGGGGTGGATTTGGGAACCACTGCCACCAGCATTGAGCCCTCCACACACTTACTGGAGCACTGGTGACAGGTGAATGAAATCAGGTGTCTTCTGCTCTTAGAGAGGAACAGCTGGTTCCTATTTACATTTTCTTTTCTGGGGAGCTGGTAAGCAAATCTTTTATTTACACAGTGTGCAGTAAAAGCCCATGAGAGTCCACTTTGGAAAGCTGGACTATTTTTTTCAAATTTATTTCAGTTTCCTTTGGAAACAAATAGCTCATGGCTGAGGTAATATGGCACAATCTTTAAAACATATGCTGAAGCAGATGGGAAGAGGGCCAGGATCAAGAAGCAGCCCTGCTTTTCTGGCTGTTCTGGTTTTCAGCACTGCAAAA